TAACAAGAGACTCCTCGAAACCCAACTTTTTTTCGCATATACCACTCTTTGAACATCTTAAACGAAATAGGCTGAATGTAACTCTTGTGGTATTTGGTGCACAATTTCATAAAGTTTGCTTTCTTGCTCTGACAACATTTGCTACATGACAGACAAAAGCTAAGGATAGGTCTTGCCGGGGACTTCTCGAGACAATTCAACAGTCCTCACACCCTCGGTTTTCCAGCGAGACCAATTCACGAATTCCTTCCAACAAACCGTTTCTTCAAAATGCAAAGTTCTATCACAATAACTCGTCAAGGAATTATTCGAAATCTCGTGCCTCCAAAAGTGGATTTTCAAGGCAGCGATTAGCTATTTTCGACGAGAGAAGATTTCAAGTCTCTCTTTAATTAGTGAATAATAACTTGGTCAGCCTATGTCCTTTAGGGCAATGACAACATGATGCAGATGCCATGAGTAACACTTGGTTTTACATGTAAGGACCAAGATATTGTGGTTCCCGTTTTTGTTGCAGTCTCCTTTTGCTGTATATGAGTGGTCTGATCTCGTTTTCGCAACTTGGTCCAAAGTTCTCTACAAAATACTTTCCATAGGCCTTTGTTGTAATTGTCAACAAGGCAAAGATGTGGCTGCTATAGCAATTAACTGAGTCATTATATTTCTCGTAAAGCTACTTATAAAACAAAAATAAGTAGTCTGATCAACTGATGTAGCAAATACACCATTGCTTCGTTAGCAATCCCACTGCAGAAATGTGATTTAGAAAAATATTAGGTTTTTGTCAATTTCAAGTCCTTCCTGTGGCCCAAGGGCACTCATTTTTGTGTGTCGTCGTGGTTAATGTGTTGATACAATAAGCTGTACTGTCACGACCCAAGTTCGAGTCCAGCTAGGGGCGTTGATGAGACGAGGTGAGGCGAGGTGAAAATTGCATTTTCCACTCCTGTTTGAAGGAGAATACAGTTTGAGAAACAGGATTATGTGAACTGTGGTTAAAAAAATTCAACTGCCAGTCCTTCAGCACCTTAAACGAAATAGCCAGAATACAGTTGCCATACCAGATCAACTGGTAGTCTGGAAAACGTATGCACAAAACGAAAATAAGGCCAACTCATGTTATTGTGAGAAAGAGCTCGACTCTCCGTCTTAAACTCACCCAAAACAACCTGGGCCGACTGACTTCCGAGCCCAGCTGTACCACCAGCTGTGCAATGACATCCAGTCGGATCGACCAACAATGTCGCCTGCATGTACAAAGGGCCTGTGTAGTCAAGGCGTTCAGGTCTGCTTCGCGTTCGCTGCCAACGGCAGGTGGATAGCATCAGAAATGGAGAAAAAAATGTACAAAAGTGCCTCTGTCAGGGAAGCAAGTGTGATCTGCTGTTGCGTTGATGTTGGCCGATTCTGCGTCAAAGTTAAAGTTGAAGTGTTTGGTGTGGGAAAATTCTCAAGTTAAATAGGAATTCGAGCAAAACTGACATGATCGATGCCCACCGAATTTGAAACAGCTGCATTAGGTCAAATGCTGCTTGAGAAAGTGGGAGAAAATCGATGCTGTACATACACGAAGTGGTGATGACTCAAGGCCAAATGTACAGCGCGTGTACATGATGAGAGGTGGGAAAAATTGTGTTTATGCTCATAATTTCTCGAAGTTTCCGAAGCTTCTGCTTCTACTTTAAACTCTAAAAGTTGGCCTTTGAATCACTCCTTCTAGACTTGGCTGTTGAACTAACCGGCATACCGACAATGCACATGCAAGCATGCACAATCTAGATGGGCTCTGCCGCAATTGTGTCAAACTGATGCATCTGCAGGCACAAAATAGCCAACAAAATCACATGATACTTTGCTAACTTTACAAGGCTTAGGCGAAAAAGATTACAAATCACATTTTTGCAACCGGGTGTGACAAAGTACGTATTATTGCGAAGAAGAGATTCGAAGGTCGATCTCGGTATAAGAGGTGAGATACAGCCGAATAGTAGTATTGTCTTAATGCTAACTTGATAATTTTACAAGAATAAGTCCCAGCTCTGATGGTGTCCAGCATATGATGGAGCATTTTCACTCGAAACGAGGGTTCAGCCGTCCTCTTCTGGGGAGATCTACCTTCGAATCTCTTCTTCATACTGTTATCATAAAAGATTCATTAAAACCCAGTTACTCTCCATATCTACAAATTAAGTAGTCGCAAAGCCTACTTATATCGAAAATAGGCTATTCACACCCTGTGTCAATATATTTCGAAACCATCAGTAAATCACACTGGGTAGTATAAATGTCATTTTGAGAAAGTCTGACCTGCAATGAAGGACCCATCTGCTCTGTGAAATCCTGACACCTG